TATATCGAATATAGCTTATATATCTTAAGATGTATATATATCTTAAGATCTACTGTACTATATTATATATATATATCTAGTATATCTAGTATACTATGTATATATAGTATATTTTAAGATGTATATATAGTATATTTTAAGATGTATACTATCGAATATGGCTTATATACAATGTATATATAATATAGTATATATATATTTTAAGATGTATATATAGTATATAAATCGAATATAGTTTATATATCTTTATTACCATTTTTTTTCTCTAACTTCTATTAAAAAAAAATTAAAAATAGAAAGTATTTGTGGGGCCCGCTTAGGCCCGTTTAGGCCCACTTAGGCCCGGGACCGTTAGTTCGTGGTCCCGGTCCCGAGCCGGTTTCAGCAATAAGCCCGCGAAGCCCGGGACCGTTTAGGACAGGACCGCATAGGACCGGCCCATTGAGGACCGGGCCCGCGAAGCCCACTTAGGACCGGGCCCGGCCCACTTGCCACCCTTACTTAGGATTTAATATTTGCAAAATACTTTGATTACAAATCGTTAAATTGGAATTGATTGAACGTTGGTAGGTTTTAAAATTATGAATTTTTAGCATGAAAAAGGGGTAGGCTTACTAAAGGGTTAGTCTTAGCGTCTTTGGTTCCTGAGTCTGGTTAGTGGTTAGTAGAGTTTCACTCTACATAGACAAAAAGAAGATTTCAAGATACATTTTACCAATTTCATAAAAGAAGAGCTCATCTGTTCACCACCTGCCTCCATTTTTCGTTCTTTCCATCTGTTCACCACCTGCCTCCATTTTTCGTTCTTTCCATTTTCTGATTTTCTTCATTCACACCTTGAATGAGATTTTGCTTCAATTGTCGTAATGTCCTCCTTTTCAAACAAATCATATTGCTGGAACACCACCTGTTTGGTAAAATGCCTGAATGAGAAGTTATGTTTTGACAGAAACCAACGGGAGGACGTAACCTGTTAATTTTGGGATGCAGTTTAGGTTTGACACATAATTTAGAGATGGAATGTGAGAAGGAATACAAAAAGTTGCCAATTTCTGCAGCATTGTCCAAAAGAGAACATACTCCTAGAATATTCCTTTTGTTCTTTCTTTTCCTCTCTTTTCATTATTAGCTTACAATGCAAAGAACCCCAATTTATAACCCCAGTAAATATAACACACCTAAGAACAACAGAAGCATTAGCAAAAATTGTCAATGCAGCAATGCATGAAATTTACAAATACTAGAAGCCACTTGTTATTACTTCATCCTCTTCTTTTCCGACGTCTTCTCTTGGCCTCAATTTTCTTAACCATCCTGTATCCTTCTTCGTTGACAATTCTCACAAACCATTTTGGTCTCCCTGTTAAGAAAACGACATATCCCATAAACAATCCAAACACCATTCCACAACCATATCCTATTACCACTGCTCTCCAATCCATAAACCCTGGATCATCTTCTTCTTCATCGGCCTCAAATGAAGGAGGTTGTTGCGGCATCTCATTATCTCCACAATTTCTTGACAAAGGAAATCCACATAATCCAGCATTTCCTGAATACGAGTCATTTTCAAATGTATCAAGCTGTGGACCTCTAGGTATGCGTCCGATCAGATGGTTCTGTGAGAGATTCATGACAGCAAGAAAGTTCATAGTTGCAAGTTGTTGTGGAATCTTCCCTGAGAGTTGGTTTGACGACAGGTCTAACGATTCAAGAACTGATAAATTTCCAAAGGACTGAGGTATTGGACCAATAAGTCTGTTATGTGACAAATTCAAAGCTCGAAGTGACCTAAGATTGCCAATGTATTTTGGTATATCACCTTCAAATTTGTTACTTGAGAAATCAATGGTTGCAAAGATAGAAAGAATCCTCACAATTTCAATCTGCTGCCCTTTTATAGACACTGTCACGGAATCATGGTATAGATCTTCTCCAATATACAATGTAGGAGTTCCCGTTCGATCTGATATCATCATGGCTTTCAGGTTTCTGAAATACCTTTCTGGAAAATTCCCAGTGAAGTCATTATAAGAGAGATCAAGGATTTTCAACTTAGAGAATAAGACTTGCTTTCTTGAAGTGGTAATCGGGCCGTGTAACCTATTGGATCTCAAACTGAGAACATGTAGCCTAGGAAGTGTTCCCAACCATTTTGGAAATGTATCATTCAACAAGTTTTCTCCAAGATCAAGTACCTCCAGCGCTCTGCAATTGGCCAGGGTTTGTGGCAATGTTCCTTCTAGTTTATTATTCCGCAAATTGAGACTTCTCAAAGTACTTTCCCTGCCAAACTTTGTTGGAACTGTCCCATGAAATTGATTATCGTGCAGGTCCAACACTGAGAGACTCCTGCTCATGTTTACCAAACATTTTGGAATTACTCCACTCAAGCTGTTACTGGACAAATCAAGAATCACAAGGGTACTCATCCTGCATAACGGTGAAGGTAACTTCCCGGTGAAGTTATTTTTTGAGACTATGAAGAGGAACATGCAGGGAGGTGGAGCGGGTAGTTCTCTTTGAATCAAGTTCGATCCAAGATCAAGATAAACAAGATTTTCAAAGTCATGAAGTGGGTTAATAGCAGTTAGAAAATTGCTTGAAAGATTCAGATAAAACAATGAGCTTTGCCAATCAGACCACGCCCAATCAGGAATTTTGCCATAGATCTTGTTGTTGGAAAGATCTAATTGACCAATTCTCGTTGCAGCTTGTAAGAAATTTAATTCCCTTATATTGCAGGAAGATGCATACAATCTTCCAATAGAACTCGGCAAGGCCATATGTTTGTGGCTGGAAAACACCGACAGATTGTTAAAAGAAAGACCAAGACGTCTAAGTTGTTTGCAGTTTGAAAACATACCAATGTCTAGACCACCAGAAAAGTTGTTCGTAGAAAGATCTAGTGTTGTCAAGTTCACAAGTTTGGAGAATGATCTTGGGATAGGTCCATGCAGCTTATTGCCACCAACATCAAGAACTTCTAGCAAGTTGTATCCAAATTCCTTAAGTTGACCAGTAAGATGATTGGCTCTCATCTGTAAGAATTTTAAGGAAGGAAGATCAAATATCCAAGATGGTATTTCCCCAGTAAGCAAGTTATCTGATAGGAAGAGCAAAATGAGGTTTGGGAATCCAGTGGCGATAGAAGGAATAGGACCAGCAATTGAACAATTAGAGAGTATTAAACTCTCCAGCTTTGTTAGGTTTGTAACTGAGGATGGAAACAACCCTGTGAACAAGTTATCTGCAAGGGATAAAGATTTGAGCTTGGTGAAGTTACTGAAAATATTTGGAATATCACCACTAAAGTTGTTAGATGAAATATCAAATTCAACTAGTTGCACCAGATTTGAGATTGTTGATGGCAGTGAACCATTGAAGTTGTTCGAGAAGAGGCGCAAATTATTGAGCTTTGTTAGATTCCCTATAGATTGAGGAATGGTTCCAGAGAAGTAGCAACTTGAGAAATCTAGGAAACTTAAAGAGCTGAGATGACCAATAGCATCTGGTACATTCCCGGAAAAGCCTGATGAAGAAAGATCTAACTCCGTTAAAGAGCTGCTACTGTTCCACTTAATCTTTGGCAAATGTCCCGTGAGATCCGAGTTGCTTCCTAAGTTAAGCTTTTGTAGTTTTGGCAAATGAAAATTTTCATCAGGGATTTTCCCAGACAATTCTGTGCTGGGAAGATTCAGAACAGCCAAGGAAGAGGAAAAGTTTGATGGGAGTGCTGAAGAGATGTATGTAAAGGTGAGGTAAAGCTCCCTTAGTTGAGTTAAGTTTTGAAGGATCAATTTGAAAGTGTGAGGTCCAAATCTCAACTCCTCAAGATTTTCGGAAAGATCAAGTGAAATCAAGTTAGATAGATATGATACTTTTGAAGGTACTCTGCCTGAAAAACCAGAATTCGAGAGATTAAGATGTGCCAAACTTGGAAACCAGCCAAATTTGCTTGAAATTTGGGAAGGGGAGAAATCATTGTATGCTAAATTAAGCTTTTGCAGATTAGAAAGCTGGAAGAGGGTGCTGTTGGAATCAATTGTTCCATGAAGTTGGCTGCAACTAAGATCAAGACCGGTTATTTGACCTGTAATTCTATCACATGTTACTCCATCCCAGGTACAACAATCAGTGCTGCTATTCCAAGAAAATGTCTTTGGGTAGGCAATGTGACCATTTGAATCACAATCAGCAGAAGCAGAGTCATCTATGGCCAATTTAAACTTCAATTGTTGCAAAGCCAAGCTCTGGTCTTGGCGGCATAAATGATTTGAAAAAGGAATGTTAGACGAAAAAACAAATGGATAATGTAACACAGAAACAAGAACAAGAAATAAGCATCCCATCTGCAAAAATTGAATCATCTTCAGTCTTCGGATTCAACAAATAATGCAATAAGATTCAATATTACCTCTTTATAGAGTATATTGCATCAGCATCTGCAAGTGGGAGAATGTATGAATAATTCAAACGGGGACAAGAGCAAGATTTTATGCCAGCAAGATAATAATGGAATTAATGATTGCAGTTGTAAAAGTTGACAAAACACCTTTACTTTCTTATCCTTCTAGTCCTACGAAGACATGGATATTAATGGAGTTCGGAACCAAAATGTGGTTCTTTTGGACTCAAAGAACCAAAATGTGTGGAAAAACAATATAGTGAAATATATATAACGCCCTTTTAAAAGACGCTATAGTTGAACCTGAAAAGAGCAGGAAGGTATAGCGCCTTTTATTAAGACGCTTGTCACGACCCAAATTTTCCCTCCGTATAACGACGTGACGGCACCTAGTCTCTACGAATAGGTAAGCCTAACATTCGTGGAATAATAAAATGAAAACAAAATTTTAACACCTAACTGTTCAAAAATACACAGTAAATCCCAAAACCCGGAACATCGTGAATCACAAACTACAGAAGGAAAAATCTAGTGTCTCTATACATCATAGTCTAACAAGGAAAAATACAGAAGATAATGGACATGAGAAAGAGTATAAGGGGACTCCGAGGTCTGCAGACGCGGCAGATATACGTTGAAGTCTCCAAAGCTGTCACGACTCACTGATAGTGCGGCTGATAAGGTGCACCTGGATCTGCACATGAAAAACATGTGCAGAGAGTAGTATGAGTACACCACAATCGGTACCCAGTAAGTGCCAAGTCTAACCTCGGTCGAGTAGTGACGAGGTCAGGTCAGGGCCCTACTGGTAATTATATAAATAAACAATATAGAGTGTATTACCGCAATAAAATAAAGGCTGAAATTTAACAACAATGGAATCATAGAAGGTAACAGCTCAGTACACAGAAACACAACAGGGGATCTTCCGAGATACCGTCTCGTAGTCCCAAACGTAAATGTGCAGGGAAATCTCCCTGAATACCGTTCCGTAGTCCCAAAGTAAATGTATAGGGGAATCTCCCGGAATACCATTCCGTAGTCCCAAAATAAATGTGCAGGGAAATCTACCGGAATACCGTTCCGTAGTCCCAAAATAAATGTGCAGGGAAATCTCCCGAAATAACGTTCTGTAGTCCCAAAGTAAATATGCAGGGGAATCTCCCGTAATACCGTTCTGTAGTCCCAAAGTAAATATGCAGGGGAATCTCCCGTAATACCGTTCTGTAGTCCCAAAGTAAATATGCAGGGGAATCTCCCGTAATACCGTTCTGTAGTCCCAAAGTAAATATGCAGGGGAATCTCCCGTAATACCGTTCTGTAGTCCCAAAGTAAATATGCAGGGGAATCTCCCGTAATACCGTTCTGTAGTCCCAAAGTAAATATGCAGGGGAATCTCCCGTAATACCGTTCTGTAGTCCCAAAGTAAATGTGCAACGCGAGTGATAGAAAGACAACTACATCACGAAATTCTTACAATTTAGCCTACGTACCAGTCAGGGAATAAGCAGGAAATTCACTAAGCATGCTGCACATAATTCACATAAACACTTAAGACACGTAGACATGCTGTATTAGACTAAACATGATAGCTACACATATTGGAATAACTCAATTAAGAATGAAAATAGATTAGTATTTATTAAAATTATATAACTCAAAATAACAGGAAAACATGTTTCTGCTCGGCAAGAAAATCGGATTTTTCCACAACTAGCTCGTGTACGTACTCGTCATCTCACGTACACGGCGCTCACATAGCATAATAGTTCTTAAGGGAATTTTTTCCACGCAAAGTTAGGCAAGCCACTTACCTTGAACCAAGCTCAATCAATCGGTCACAATGCCTTTTCTACGAATATCCGGCTCTGAATGACCCCAAATCTAGCGAAAAGCAATTACATATCATAAATACAACAATAATAGACTCATCTAATTAACGAAATCAATATTTTAACGAAAATTTCAAAATTAACTCAAAATCGTCCGTGGGCCCCATATATCAGAACCCGATAAAAGTTACAGAATATGAACACCCATCCAACTACGAGTCCAACCATACAAATTTCACCAAAATCTGACATCAACTCGAGCCTCAAATCTTCAATTAAAATCTATGAAAATTTTTACCATTTTCAACCAAATCTTTACCCATTTGAACCTAACAATCTTTCCATGACCTTATTGGTATGTATACATAATACTCTTATACCCAAGAATCATACTATAAATCACCCGTCTTTATTCCAAACCCGAAATTGAAGAATTGAGGAAAGAAATTCTTACCTCTTTGAAGCCCTAGCAAAATCCTTGTGAAATCTTCAAACCTTGAATAAGAAGTTGATGGATAAATGACTAAGTCTTCACTTTCTCTCTCTAAAATACTCTCACCTCTCTCTAAAATATCAGATGAAACCCTTCAAAATGACCCCCAATAGTGTTTTATAAGAATAGGGTCGGGTTTATAAAATCAGAAAAATAAAGCTCTGGGACAGGTTCTGCGGTCGCATATGCGACCGCATAATGATTATGCGGACCGTATATCGGTCGCATAATCGGTGTCCAAAAATAGCAAACATCTGTCTGTGTATGCGGTCACTATGCGGCCCGCATACCTGTTCTGCGGTCGCATAGTCGACCGCTGATTTCATCCAAATTGGCCCTCTTCTGCATCACTTCTGCGGCCATTATGCGGTCCGCAGAGTGATTATGCGGTCGCATAATGGACCGCAGAAATGCGTTTTTCTGCCAAGAATTTTCCTTTACTTCCCGGTGCATTGTTCAACCCAAAAAGTCCGAGCCGCGAGAAATTTCTACAACCTTTGTACTATTTGATCTACCTCGACGCCACAAAAACTTAATTTCCTTAGCAAAACCTTTCGGGTTACTACACATACATCAACATCTGGTCAACATTTTTAACTGAATTTCGAAACCTTGGAACTTGGTATTCCAAATCATTCAAAAATCTCACCGGACCCGAACCAATACCCCCGGTAAGTCACATAACAAATATAAAGCATAAATTGAGCAGTAAATAGGGAAACGAGGTTATAATACTCAAAACGACGGGTCGGGTCGTTACATTCTCCCCCTCTTAAACAAACGTTTGTCCTCGAACGGGTTTAGAATAATACCTGGAGTCTCAAATAAGTGTGGGTATTTACTCCGCATTTCCTGCTCAATCTCCTAAGTAGCTTCTCCGACTGGCTGGCCTCTCCACTGCACCTTCACTGATGCTATATTCTTTGACCTCAGCTTTCAAACCTACCGGTCGAAAATAGCCACTGGCTCCACATCATAAGTCAAATTACCGTCCAGCTGTACTGTACTGAAATCCAAAATGTGAGACGGATCCCCGACATACTTTCGGAGCATGGATACATGGAACACTGGATGAACATCTGATAGACTAGGTGGCAAAGCAAGTTCATAAGCCACCTCCCCAATTTTCTTAAGTATCTCAAAAGGCCCAATATACCGAGGGCTCAACTTGCCCTTCCTCTCGAACCTCATAACGCCCTTCATAGGCGAAACTCGGAGCAAGACTCGCTCTCTAATCATGAATTCCACCTCGCGAACCTTACGATCCGCATATTTGTTCTGTCTAGACTGCGTTGTGCGAAGTCTATCCTGAATTACCTTCACCTTTGCCAAGGCATCCTGAACCAAGTCCGTACCCAATAATTTGGCCTCGCCGGGCTCAAACCAACCCACTGGGGACCGACACCGCCTACCGTACAGAGCCTCATACGGTGCTATCTGAATGCTGGACTGATAACTGTTGTTGTAAGCAAACTCTGCAAGTGGTAAGAGCTGGTCCCAAGAACCCCCAAAATCTATCATACACGCACGGAGCATATCCTCTAATATCTGAATAGTGCGCTCGGACTGCCCGTCCGTCTGAGGGTGAAATGTTGTGCTCAACTCAACCCTAGTACCCAATTCATGTTGTACAGCTCTCCAGAACCGTGATGTAAACTATGTACCCCGGTCAGAGATAATAGATACCGGTACACCATGAAGCCTGACGATCTCACGGATGTAGATTCGAGCTAGCTGCTCGGAAGAATAGGTAGTTATCACAGGAATGAAATGAGCCGACTTGGTCAGCCTATCCACAATTACCCAAACTGCATCAAACCTCCGCTGAGTCCGTGGGAGTCCAACAACGAAATCCATAGTGATCCGCTCCCATTTTCACTCCGGAATCTCTAACTTCTGAAGCAATCCACCTGGTCGCTGATGCTCATATTTTACCTGCTGGCAATTAAGACATCGAGCCACATACTCTATTATGTTCTTCTTCATTCTCCTCCACCAGTAATGTTGTTTCAAGTCCTGATACATCTTTGCGGCACCCGGATGAATAGAGTACCGCGAACTGTGAGCCTCCTATAGAATCAACTCACGCAAACCATCTACATTGGGCACACATAGCCTGCCCTGCATCCTCAATGCATTATCATCTCCAATAGTGACCTCCTTAGCATCACCGTGCTGGACCGTATCCTTAAGGACAAGCAGATGGGGGTCATCATACTGATGCTCCCTGATACGATCATAAAGAGAAGACCGAGAGATCATATAAGCCAATACTCGACTCGGCTCAGAAATATCCAATCTCACAAACGGGCTTGCTAAGGCCTGAACATCCAACGCCAATGGCCTCTCTACTGCTGGTAGATATACTAAACTCCCCAAACTCTCTGCCCGACGACTCAAAGCATCGGCCACCACATTGGCCTTCCCAGGGTGGTATAAAATAGTGATATCATAATCCTTAAGTAGCTCCAACCACCTCCGCTGACGTAAGTAAAGATCTTTCTTCTTAAACAGATGTTGCAAACTCCGATGATCGGTGTAAATCTCACAAGGAACACCGTACAAATAATGTCACCATATCTTTAAGGCATGAACAATAGCTGCTAACTCAAGGTCATGGACAGGATAGTTCTTTTCGTGTACCTTCAACTGTCTGGACGTGTAGGCAATCACCCTACCGTCCTGCATCAACACCGCGCCGAGAACAATCCGCAATGCATCACAATATACAGTATAAGACCCCGAACCTGTAGGTAATACCAATACTGGGGCTGTAGTCAAAGCTGTCTTGAGCTTCTGAAACCTCTCCTCGCATTCCTCTGTCCACCTGAACGGAGCACCCTTCTGGGTCAGCCTAGTCATAGGTGTTTCAATAGATGAGAATCCCTCTACAAAGC